CTCAAGTGTTGCCCTCTAACCTGAGTCACTTCCACGTATAAAGCCTTTAACTCACATGCCGTGGTACCATTTCCTCAAGTTGACTGGCTCACCAGGGTATAGGCCAAAGGTGGAACTCATCAGTTGCTAACACAAGCATTCTAGCGTGGTTTCTGGCAAGCATCATTAGAGTGCCCTTAGTCTTCCAACGCCTTCCCACAGTCCCACACAGGCATGCAGAAAGGACAGACAACTTTCTCCACAGTTCACTGGGAAAGAATCCATAGAGTGGCTCCACTTTCTGCTGGGCAAAGAAGAACTGAGGGATATAACCTTAGCAGTGTTAATGACTCACGTGAATGAGTGCAGTGCCAGCAGGGACATTGTAACTCGTGCTAATTCATCAGAACAGCCACATTGGGCCAGGCCAAAGGTTCATCTAAACCAATATCCTGTCTCCCTACAGTGGCCAATGCTCACGGCTTAGCAGGAATAAACAGAACAGGTGATCATCCCATGATCCATCCCTTGTTGTAGCTTGGATGCCCTCCCTCGAGTTTGGCTAACCCAGCAGAAGTAATTTGAGTGTCAATAACACAAGATAACTTGATCTCATTTGCAGTTTGACACCTAGGTGCTTTTGAAAAGCTCATAAAGTGCCTAGCTGCATCGTTAGGCGCCTAAATAGCTTTAAAAATCCAGCCCTCAACTTGATTCATTTATGAAATGGGGATTATGCTGGTGCCCTGCTTTTGTATAGTGCTTTAAGATCTATGGGTGGAAACCACTCACTAAATGCTAAGTATTATCTATGAGTCCTTCATGGTCCTGAAGGCCAGGAAGCAATGAACTTGCTTGAGTAGCCAGTCCTTCTTAAGATTGGTATCCACTTCAGGACTGCCAGGAAACCAAGGTCTTTTGAGAAACCAACAGAGAAAGATTCCTTGTCTATGAGCTCACAATATGGCCCAAGGGCTGTATTTCCATCCTCTGGATGCTCCTAATGATCCGCCACGTGAATTATGCACATGCAGTCAGAGAACAGCTCCCAATCATTTGTGTTTACTCCTCAGCTACAGTAATGTGATGTTTCACCCAGAGAAACCAGGAGGCTATATTAATAAAATTCATCCAGGACATAGAGGACAATCTGTCAGAAAGTTGAGTGCCACAGTAGAGAACACCTGACATCCTACATCACATCACACACTAGCTCTGCGTGGCTGGTTCCTCCTTGTGTGTAGTCCCACACCGGATGGAGAAAAATAACAAAGCTTGATGTATTTGTGGTGTCTTTTCTCCCTACTCCTTTCAACAGCGGCTTTTCTGAACCAAGGAGGTTGCTGCAGACTCCTTCTGCAGCTGCCTTAATATTCAGTTAACTGCTTGGCATTGATCTGCTTTTAAGTGCCACTGATTACCCTGCACCTTGACACATATACACATCCCCAGCTCACACCAAAGAGGCAAAGGACTGGGCCACATTAACCCCCAGCTGTGTCTTGTTGGCTCTTGAGCATCGATTTCCTATTTGTGCAGCAGTGAGGAGAAAAAAGATGCCTGGGAAAGCAAAAGGCTGTCCCGTTACTGGCATTTATTAATGAGACCGTGGGCGGCAAAGCACATTTCTGCTAAGAGGGTTGATTTGGTGCTGCAACGGGCTGGCTTTCTCCCCACCCCGAGTCCATGTTTGTTTGCTGCAGGATGTGAAGCGAAAAGGGTCTTAATCATTTGTTGTCGTGAGGTATGAAACAGGCAGCACTGCTTGGCAATGGCCAGATGAGTGATCATATCCCCAAAGCCCAGCGTCAGCACCTTAGTGAGCTGATCTGAGCTGCCAAACACTTGGCGTCTGATGCGGACTATGTAGCTGCAGAGCTGGGAGCACAGGGAGCCTGACTAAATTGATTGTCCTGCTAAGCCCAGGTAGATTGTTTCTAGTTTGTTCCTGCTGTGCCTATGCGGGTGGAGGTGAGGGGGGAGGGTGTTATGTAATATTTACCAAAAAAGCTTTTGCAGCAGAAAAGATCCACATGCAGAGCAGATTTCAGGACTGCCAAGGCAGGCCCCTGTGAGACTTGGAGTATAAGATTCGCTTCTTCCCCATGGGATGGCTTGAAATGTTTTCATGTCTTTGTTGCTTTATGTCCTGGCTTGATTGTTACTGAAAACTCAGATATAACAACTTGTTGCACTGGGTTATTTTTTCTGAGGCCATGTCAGCTTCCCACGTTGCCCCTCCTTTCGGATTGCTTCCGAGATGTCAGGCTCTGTTCGTGCACTGTTAGCAGCCCACCACCCCTTGCTGTGCTCTGCCGCCACCCCCTGCCCTGATTAGCTTCTGGTGTAATGCCAGGCTCAATTATCTAGCTGTGTTCCACCCCAAGACTTTCAATGAAAAACCATCAGAGACAACCGCAGAAAATCAAAATTGCTTGGAGATAAAATAGGAACATTACAACAGATGGGGTGGGGGGAGAGAGATCACCCTGGCTCAGGATAAAGGCAACAGACAATTTCAGTATAACACAGGGTGGGGAAAGGCCTCCTGGATCTATTTACTGAGCAGACATCTTAGGGACTGGGGGAGTGGATCCTGCTTCCCACCAGTCAGTTCTGCAACAGACTGACCTCTGAGGGGGAAGGAGGCATCTTACCTTATTAGCTAGGAAAGGCAGCTGGTAAGTAAGTGTGGACCCTGGCTTGCAGTTTATGGTTTTGTATTGGAACATTTGTCTCCATCCCTCCTTGTTTCTAGCAGAATCATCACCCTTAAATAAACCTTCTTGGCTACGTCTACACTGGCAGCTTCTTGCGCAAGGACTGTTTTGCAGAAGAGTTCTTGCGCAAAAAGTCTTCCACAAGAGAGCGTCTACACTGGCATGTGGTTTTGCACAAGAGCATCCATGGCAGTGTGGACGCTCTCTTCCGCAAGAAAGCTCTGATGGCCATTTTAACCATAGGGGCTTCTTGCGCAAGAATTTCATGTTGCCTGTCTACACTGCCCTCTTGTGGAAGGGCTCTTGCGCAAGAGGGCTTATTCCTCGTGGGGAGAGGAATAACTCCTCCGGAAGAAGCCCTGTTTTGCAACGCTAGACTGTAAATTTACTTGTGCAAAAACACGCATGCAATGTAGACAGCCAGCAAGTTTTTGCGCAAGAACAGCTGTTCTTGCACAAGAAGCTGCCAGTGTAGACATAGCCCTTGTGTTTTATTACAAGTGCTGTGTGCTGTATGGGGGGCACTAAGGCAAAACTGGCACCCTAGGGCCCACTGCTCCTTCTGGACAGGATCTGGGATTTCTGAGTAGCCAGTGTCAGGAACCAGCTATCGCAAGGAGCACTTCAAAGGGACTCGGGGAATGGGTTGCAGCAGGTACTGTTAATCTGCAAGGCAAAGTCAGGGCTGTCACAACCTGGAAGGGAGCGGTCAAGCGGCTGACAGGCTAAGGGTGTTAGGGTGCAGATACCAGGCATTTCAGGCCAGACTCCCTCTGGCTGGAGGCCAGGGGTGAGATGATTCAGTCCCGGGCACCCCAAGAAAAACGACAAACAGAAGCAGGCTCTGATTTCCTATTAGAAGGAATATTGTGTGTTCCAGCTGGACATTAAACAGCCATTCATGCTCCTCGGTCTCTTTTGCCCTGCTAGGGCACTGTCACTGCTGTTGCAAGGGAGGATCCCAGCCTAGACCAGCTCCATGGTGGCCTCTCTGACTAAATGTAAAGGCAGCTCAGACCGAAGGCTGTAGCTGAGACTTCTCGAGAGCTGACAGATGCTGGCTATGTTTATTGTTCCACAGCAGAAGATGGAGCTGACATGCCCACGTCCCCCAAGCAGGCAAACAACAAACCAAAGAGCTGCCAAGGGAACACAGTGGGGCAAGAGCCCAAATGGCAGAAATACACTCGAAGCCAGCACTGAAACCCCCACAGGATGTGCCTCGCAGTGACCACGCAATGGCCTGGCTCACTCAGAAACAATCCCCGTCTTTCCAAGCTCAAGGCAGCAAGTCTCTGGTTCATTCTTTTGAAGAGAGAGCCCCCTTTGCTCTAACCCTGGGAACGGCTCAAACTCACCCAGAAAGTCCTGGCAAAAGATGCCCTGTGGGGACAAGGAGCAGCTGGGCCAGGCTAGAGAGCACTCCAGGGCGGGAGGAGGGTGTTCGCAGCTGGAGGGGGGAAAGCAGGGCGTTTCTCAAGAATGGGAAGCAAAAAGCCCCCAGCACTGGCAAGAGAAAAGATCAACAATGAGATCTTCATCCCTGCTCCAGAGCCTACGTGCCTCTGCACTGGCAGGCACAAGCCAGAAACAGCCTGCAAGAGGCAGGGGGCTGGGGATGTGCTGGCATGGTCGCTGTCCGCATCGCCACATGCTGGTTCCTTGCCAGGCCTGGTGCAGGGCATGTCCCAGGAACATGGCGCATGGCCCATTGCACCAGGGAATCTGGGCTGCAGCTGCCCAAGGGGGAAGCCCAACTGCTCTGATTTACACCTCTGACCATTTGGCCCCCTGTTGCAGTTCAGAATTGGGAGAGGCTCACAGCCACTTGGCGGCATAGCACAGGCTCCCATCCCAGTTCGGGCAACAAGCAGCAGGCGTTCTGGGAGGAAAGTGACATCGCTGTGATAGATCCTCATGAATCCTTCCAGGCACATGTGGGGCTCACCTCACTGCACTGTCAGCAGGCCTGATTCCCCACCTCCCTGCCCCGGGAGTAGCATTTGTACTCACACCAAGTGGGTGGGGAATGCTAGCACAGCCAAATGGCAGCACTGAACCCCCACCTGGCAATAGTGTAAGTGCTAACCTAACTACAAGGCACATTGGAATGGCAGAAATAGGGCAGCTATCCAGTTAGGGCTGGATATGGATCCAGAGGCCAGGCAGTGCTATGACGAGGCGGACAGGCAGACGGCAAAAGACACAAAAGGGAGAAGCAAATCTCTTTAAACTTAGGAAGGGAAACAGGCTAAAGCTCAGACCAATTTCCTTGGAAGTCAGAAAAGCCCCAGACCAAAGTACATTAGAATATTTTATTGTTCTCCTAAGTTCTGTTATAGCCACCACATCTCTGTTACTGCGCTGCTGCTTTAGAGAAGTGTTGCACTAAAGAGCTAACAAATGTACAGCAACTTCCCCTTCCTTGTCCCGTCACCCCTCCCCTCTGCTGTGTTAGTGTCTCAGAGTCATCCCCCCCCTCTCTGCACAGAGGTCTGATGGAATTGGCAGGGAGTCCTCAACTTCAGACACAGCAGGCACTCAGGATGTTAACCTCACATCCTCCAGTCTCACTCCATCCTACAGTCTCAGCTGATTAGACCTTCTCCCCCTCACAGCACAGCAGTCCTGGCAGAAGAGTTTCGAATGGCTTGAGCTGGGATCCAAGAGCTGAAGCTATCCCGGCCTGCTTGGGGTGTCTCAGGACTTGGTCTCTTGTAGAGTTTAAGAGAGCTGGGGTCAGCCTGTGAGGTTCTGCACCAAGCCCAAGGAAAATATGGGGAACATCCATGGAGCACCCCATGGAGAACAGTGCAGCTGACAGCGGTGGTGGAGGAGGAAAAGGTTTCCAAGGACCAGCACCCAAGCAGAGTAACATCCAGGTGACAGCCGCAGAGAAACAGGGTTCCCAACAGCAACACCAAGATGGGGTGGAGGAAGACAGGCAGAGTCCCAAATATTTGCGTCCACAGAGGAACTTATGGGTGACAGCAGGAGAGAAACAGGATTCTTGGATCACAATTCAGTCATCCCCAGGGCCACGGAGAGAAGCATTCAGGTCACTAGCTGAGGAACGGGATTCTAAGGAGCACTCCTCCTGTCCCCAGGAATGGCCTGACCTCCAGCAAGCTTTGGGGCAGCAAGTTGCAGCAAGCGATTTGCACCTCCTATGCAAAGTACAGAAGGATTCTTCTCTCCCACTGGTGGGCCCAGGCTGATCTCTAAGGGATCGGTGGAGACTAGAAAATGTCTGTTAAGATGCTTCCTACTGGGCTCTCTATGGAGCAGTATGTGGTGCCGGAGAGCCCTGGACAATGAAAGCCCTTCCTGAGGGACTCCCTCCATCTACTCTGCAGATCGTGGGAATGCCAGCTGATAAGAAGAGTACCCTTCTTGCCATCAGAGGCAGATCTAGGCCTCCTTCACCCACCATGCTGGAGCAGGTACTTCTACAGCACTTCAAGCAAGGAGATTCATGCTAACGGTGTCTGTGACCTGGGCAGGTGAGGGGTTCGGAGTTGCAGGTGAATGGTTTCCTCCATCACAACTAATGAACTGGTGCCCACATGGCCTTTGCATGAGAGCACGCAAAGATTTCCATAACAGTCAGGGGCGGGACAAGAGAGACTGCAGGTAACACAGACCAAGAGACTTCAGAGGAAAGGGTTCATCACCCCCTGCGAGGGTGGGGGAGGAGTAGAGCCAGTCAGTGGCAACAAAGGCTGAGGCAGGTTCCTGGGTAGCTCTGGAAACGGCCCTGCCCCGGTCTGGGGGAAGGCACTCATGGAAACAGGAAGGGTCACTGCCGACGGGACGCTGCTGAGCGGAAGAGGGAGAGAAGTACTGTAGGTCATGGAGTTCATGGTCATCCCCATGGCCATGCCCGGCACTGGGGAACTGGTCCTCATCTGGTTGAGCGTTGGTTTGCTCTGATCACTGATGCTGAATGGGTTTGTGGGAGAAGGTGCACTGAGACCTGCCAGGAGAAAGTACATCGTGTTACCAGAGGTGCAGCCTACTAGACAGGAAGTTAGGGAACAGGGTTAAAGGTTAAGGCTGGTCACCAGACTCTTGGCTCTCAAAACACACTGCAATTAAATTCAACTGCTAAACCATTAAGGACCATTCAGGGTTTGACTTAACCCCAGGAATGCAGCTAGAAGATTGAAAAATTTAGCTTTACACATAGTATGAGAAGCGAAGTTCAAGCCAAAGTCTTTGCCGTGAGTTTGAAGCTGAGTTCCAAAGTTTCGGGGGCAGGGTCAGAATTTTAGTGTGGTTTTGTTTTTCACTGTGACACTAAGGGCAGAGCTCAGTCACTGTATACGCTGCATGTTAAACCAAGACACCATGAAAACGTTCCCAAGGATCTGCACCCCAGCTTTCTGATTCACATGCGCTCATGAGTCACCAGAAGGTCCTACCCATCACCCTTACACAACCCTCCAAGAGCCTCCGGGTACACTACTAGGTAAGCCCAGGGTTAGGAGAACTCAGGCTAGCAGACCCTGGGCTTGTTAACCTAGGACTTCAGCAGCGACATTCATTTGTAACCCCATGTTAGGAATTGTTGAGTCCTGGGTCCCAGCCTGCAACTCTAGCATCTGTGCTGCACTATGCAGGCCCTAGTCCAGCCACCCGTATTCCAGCATTCCTAGCACTCTTCCAAAATGTAGCAGCTCTAGCATTGTTTCATGGTGCAGTGTGGGAAAACCAGACTGTCCATCAAGCTTGGAAAACAAAGCTGCCCTGTGAGACGGTGGGATAAGTTCGAAGTTTGGACGGCAAACCCCAAATCATTTATACTGCCAAGCAACAGGGCTTGAAACCTGGGTCTCAGTTTGACTCAAGCTTGGTCCCTTCATTCCTGAGGGCTCCTGAGACCCTGAGTTAGTGCTGTGATGCCCCCTCACCATGCCTTATGAGAATTCACTTGTGGATATGAATATGCATAACTCAAAGATGCTTTAGACAAAATGCCTCATGTAACCCATCACTTTTAATGTTACACGAGTTATGAATGTGTATCTCCTATTTTTGTGCATGTATGTGACATCAAACATGAGGGCTGTGTCTAGACTGGCCAGTTTTCCCAGAAAATCAGCCGCTTTTCTGGAAAAACTTGCCAGCTGTCTATACTGGCTGCTTGAATTTTAGCAAAAGCACTGACTTCCTACTGTAAGAAATCAGTGCTTTTTGTGGAAATACTATGCTGCTCCCATTTGGGCAAAAGTCCCTTTTGTGCAAAACTTTTGCGCAAAAGGGCCAGTGTAGACAGCTGAGATTTGTTTTCCGCAAAAAAGCCCCGATCGCGAAAATGGCGATCGGGGCTTTTTTGCGGAAAAGCGCATCTAGATTGGCCACGGACGCTTTTCCGCAAAAAGTGCTTTTGTGGAAAAGCGTCCGTGCCAATCTAGACGCTCTGTTCCGAAAATGCTTTTAACGGAAAACTTTTCCCTTTTGTGGGAAAATCATGCCAGTCTAGACGTAGCCATGAAGTGTGGATCTGTTTACAATTATAAATGTGCTAAGGAGAGCCATTACTAGTGTCCCTGAAGCTTAATGGCTTAGTGATCAAATCAATGACATGTGAATAGTCTTGTTTGTCGTGTAAGCCCAAACTCCTGTAAGCCCAAACAGTGGTTGGTCCTAGAAAGACATGTGACCATGCCACCGGATACTGGAATCCATCTTGAATGTGGTACTTTTCCATGGAGATGGGGAGGACTACACAAAGGTTCCCTCCCTAGGGGAAAGTCTATTTGAGCAATGGGAACCAACCAGCCTTTGAAGCCTTTGTCTTCAGCTGGCTTTTGAAATTGTCTGGCACACCCTAAGAGGAAACAAAAAACTTAGAAGAAGCTGTAGATCCAAGTCAGAGAAAAAGATCAACCCTGATTTCAAATTTTACTTCAAATAAGAACAACTGTTGAGGGGTTAGGAATTTGCACATAACAAGTTTCTTAGTTGATTAGAATGAGCTAAGCATTTTTGTTCATTTTAATTTAGGAATTTACTTTCATCGCATTGTTTTCACTTGCAACCACTTAAATCCTACTTTTCATACTTAATAAAAACTCTTTTGTTGATTATCAAGCCCAGTGTAAATAATTGTTACGAGGAGGGAGGGGCAACCACCGTGCACATCTCTCTTTCATTGATAAAAGGGTCTGACATGACCTTATGAGCTTTCACTGTGTAAAATTTTTACACGGATTTATTTGGGGTTTTGGTCACATTCAGGGGTTGCATTCCTGGGTGTTGTGCCTTAGAACTGAGTCCTCCCAGAACTGAGTTGGTTCAGTGTTAGGGCAGCAAACCCCAACTCTGTGCCTCGACAGGGGAGAGCAGAGGATCTGGCCCAGCATGACAGCATGGTGGGAAGACCCAGAGGTCAGGAAGATGGGTGTCAGTGACAACCCTGAGGGGACTTCTGTGATTTGATTAATCATAAGAGCAATTTGTGTGTAGACAGACCAGGCATTAGGCTTGAGCCTGAGTTTGAACCTGGGCTAACACTGAAGCTTAAACATGCCATCAGAAACCACACAACATCCTTCAGTGGCCATTTAGACTTGGCCCTGAGCCCCATGACCCACCTGACAAAAACGGATTATGTGACTTCACGGTCGGTGGGGCACCAATCAAGGAGTCCAAATTCACCAGGGAGCAGGCAGTTGGGCCAAGAAAGGACTCTGGAGTTTTACAATCTTTCCTTTCTTTGTCGGAGTCAGCAAGAGACTCTCCTAAGCCCGCAAGATCAAAAACGTCCGTGGTTTTGACTCCATTCTGCGTGGTGCTGTGCACCAGCTCACCAAACAGGTCCAAATCTAGAACAAAGAGAGGAGACTTAATGGCAAAACAGAGAGGGGACAATGAATTTCAAGAGAACAATAGGCAAAAGGGAGGGACTGTCACGTAAGAAAGAAACAGAAGAGGGCAACCTGCGTCCTCATGTTGCCACTCTCTGCTCTCTCCTGAGTGTTGTGTTTTGAAGACTCACAAAGCCCGTGCTTGGACGGCCTTTTCACAAATGCTCCCTTTGAATCCGAGACAACCTTGCCTTAGCGCAGAAAGACGTTGCAAGGAATTGGGCTCAGAAGCGGCAGTTTCGGCTTCAAGAAGCTGCTGCTTCTGTCTGCCCAGCATTGTTGCCAGTCTCAGAAGACAGAGGTAAATGGCTGTTTGACCCCACATGATCCCAAGTATTTCTGGGTCATGGAAAAACAGTAGCTTGCATGGACTCCACCATCACCCACGTGCAAACACGTAGGGATAGTTAACCCCTTCGTTAGGTGTCTAACCCAGAGATGAAATTGTACAGCGCTAGAGCAGCGAGTAGGAGCTATATGCCATGGTGAGTTACAGTCCCACAGAAATGCAGATGTATGCCAGAGACACCTCCCATAGAGCCCCAGGGCAGCTCTTCCCCTCCTTTGCAGACACTGTGATACCCAAGATGACTGGTCCACAATGCCCTCATTGCCCTGGATCTGTTAGGACTCTCTTACCAACAGGGCTATTCGGTTTAACAGAGGACGGGGCCTGTGAGCTCTCGTGTTCCAGCGGTTCTGGCGGTTTCCCAAACAAGTCAAAAGTGACATCACCTGAAGCGGGGAGGGAGAAAAGAGACAGACAGAGCCAGAAGGGAGGCCAGGGGAAGGCAGACAGGAGAAAAAGGAAAACAACAGATGATGGGCAGAGGGAGTCATTTTTAAAAAGAGACAAAAATGAGGCCAGAGATGAGGAGTTAGGGGTTAAGGAGAACAAAGAACACCAGAGAGAGGGGAAAGGAATGAAATGGGTCAACAATTCCTGAAGCAATCTGTGTCAATGAGCTGCCAAGTCCAAATCAGTGACCCACCCAGTAACCAATGCCAGTGGACAAGACAGAAACACTTAGCACACAAGGGAGGGCCACTTCATACATGCTATGCCCTGTTAGTGCCTTAAAGGGGTCTAGGGAGGTGTATTCAGACCAATCCCTGACTTGCAGGGTCAGGCATGCCCACATGACCCCAGAAACCTATCACCCTTCATTACTATCCCGAGGCCTGCACGGACCGAGCAAAGCCAGCAACCCAAAGACATCCCCAAGTTCCTTTCTCAAGAGGAAAGAATCATAGTTCAAAAATGCTTAAATTCTGAGCTCTGTCAGGCAAGGGCCATCTTTTGGTGTGTTTGCCCAGCACCTACCACAGTGCTGCACCTAGTACGATAGCTCCAATGGTAGCACAGATGTTACACAAACAACCATAATAATTCATTAATTCATAATAAAGGAAAGGGAAAGTTATTCACTGGGGGGCAGACTCTGATATCATTCACATGCATTTAAATTCAGAGTAATTTCACTATGCACACATGTCCCTGTAAATGAGACCAGAATTTGGCACCCATTCCTCCACTGATTTCAGTTGAGTTACGGCATGTTTACATCACTGTTCAGAATCTAGCCCTAAGAAGTTTGTTCCCTCGGAACATGTTGGCTGCAAATCGGTGCTTCTATGCATTGTGGCTCTTTCACCAGATGGGTCTTACCAGCACTATGTTGCCCTCTTTTCCCAGTGGGACTAAATGTAAATGTTTCACTCATACACTATTCTCCTCCTGCTGGTTTCCCCTCTGAGCTCTGCAAGGGCTTTCACCAGACACTGAACAGATCTTATCTGTGGCTTGGTTATTCCTCTCCCCAGGGGCTGGACCGTTTTCACTACAACTCTGTTTTGTGTTTGGCCTAAGAGTGGGTCTAGGTCTCCCAGCGTGGTCAAGTGAAAAATCTGATACAGTCTCCTGCCCCACACCCTTTCAGGGCAGTGGATCAGAGTGGAGCTGGCAAAGGGGACCATAAAAGACTCTCTGGGGAGGAAATACAAGACACGGGTATTCGCTGAGACTTTTAGAGGAAACTGCATCCCAAAAGAAGGGGAGGTGAAGGCATCGTGACGACGGCAGGAAGAATTATGCAGTTTCAGGTGGCAATGGACGCGGACGAACAAAACGATCTGCTCTTACCTGCCGTGGGAGGATTGTCAACGGCACCTCCCCAAGGATCAACAGCAGCAGCAATGGAAGCTTTAGACGGTGGGGATGCCTTTACCCAGGCATCTGCTGATGAGAGATCTGAGAGGGGGGTCTTCCCCCAGGGGTCAGAGGAGGAGCTTATGGGAGGAAGATCCCAAGGCTCTGCAGAGGTTTGGTTGATGGATGCTGTCATCTGGCTTAGAGGATCCCCGGAAGCAGCAGGGATTGGAGCCCAGGGGTCTGCAGAAAGGCCCCAAGAGGTTCCTGCGGGTTCCACATTGGACTTCAGACCTGAAAGACACACAGGAAGTTGTGGCAAACAGGCAGGGAACTATTCAAAGGCATAGCAGAGAGAAGTGAACCATAATAAAGGGTGGGGCTAAGGAGGAAACAGGCTAGAGAAGAGCAGGAGAAAGAAAATAAAAGAGGTAATCAGGAAAACAACACATGAGGCAAAATGAGACCAGGAAGGCAGGACGAATGTAGTAACCAGCCTGTGTTTACCATGTATCACCCTTTTGCTTTCTTCTCTTGCTGCTGTTCAGTGGCCCCAGTGTGGTTAAAAGCTACTATGAGACAGCAGGGAGCAGAGGAGAAGAGGAAAGGGTGGACAGAGAGAACACGAGCAAGGATTCTTACTGTTAGGTGCCCAAGAACTGGCCAGGGACAGAGCTGGAGGAGAGAAGGTTCTGCCATTCTCCCAACCATCAGCCGATCGAGAAGGGTCCCCACCTGGAATATCCCAAGGGTCAACTGAAGCATGGGTTACTGGTGGTGGTCCGAAAATGTCTGCCAGCTCCACGATGGAGGACTAGGCATGCAAGGAGGAAAAAGAAACAAGTTAAGGCTCGGGGACACCTGCCAGGCCTCAGCTG